CCCCAGAAACAAAAAGCTCTCCACTGCACACAGCGACGTGATGCGCCACAGCGAATGTATCATTAGGCAGTGGAGCCACGAACGTCCACCTGTCCAATCGCGGGTCGTAGCGCTCCACTGAGGAGAGGCACTCCCCTCCGATGGCGTAGATGAAGCCCTCCAGTGCTGCCAGTTTGCAGCGGGGCCTGGCTTCATTCATGGGACTGATCTCCTTCCAAATTGATGTCAAAGGATTGTAGCAAAACACTTGCTTTGAGGGTGTCATTTCTCTGTCTGTGCCTTTGCAGCCTAGCGCCACAAATAAGTAGTTATCCATTGTGCACATGGCGCAGGCTTTAGAGATGACCTCCTGTGGGATCAGGCAGAGTGTATGCCAGGCGTCTTTGTAGTCATCATAACAGTACACTGCACTGGATGTCCTCCTCTGCTCCGTCTCTGCCAGTTGCCCTCCTGTGTTCCTCGCCCAGTCTTGAGGGTCCATATCTGCCACAATGACAAACCTCCTCCCTCTCATCCTCTGCTTTTGGATTTGCTCCCGCTCACCAGCCATTAGCCGCCCATAAAGGTTGGGGTCCCTAATCACCTGGAGGTAGTTGTCTGACATGACTCCCAGGGCTGCTTTCTGCACAGAAGTCTGGCCATGTTTCTTGGCAAGACACAGTGTCTCCAAACAGTTTCCCAGATTGAGTATACTATTCAGGCTTTCCAAATCTTTGCCATCGAAATCTTTCGCTGTAAGGTCTAAAAATGCTGCTTCAGTCTCTGGATCTGCACCCTCCTTTACAGTTATGCCTTTGCCGTCTGTAGAGTGACAGATCGTGGGGTGAGCAGTGATGGACTCAGTGCTGGTTGGGGCCAGAGAGTGAGTCACTGGAGTTGAAGCGCTTGTATTTAGAACGGGGATGTAAAGCTCCGACTGCTCTGCTGCTGACAGATAGCTCTCCTTGCGTAGGAGTACAGGCCTTGCGGGGTGCCTCAGTTTCAGGCATTCCAGTGACGGATCCTCAACATTGCTTTGTGGAAAAACTAGATCACGCATGATGATGGGGCTCAGAGAGGAAGGAGACTCTGGGAGGCTGCTGCCCCGACTTCCCAGCTCCACTGGCTGTGACTCAGAGTTCCTCTCATACTGACCCATCACAGTGTTTAAGCCTGTAATGGAGTGCGAGGAAGACTCCACATAGTAATCATATATCTTTCCCCGCACTATCTGGTCTCCTGTTCCCTCCAGCACCACGTTAGCATCCTCCACTTTGATCTCTGCCTTGGAGAGGAAGCTGGAGTAGGCCCCCTGGTGCTCCAAGTCCTGCCTTAACTCCCTGCCCACACCCACAATGCCCTCCAGCTTCTGCAAAAAGCAAGGGGAGCGGCGCCCCGTTGCACTGGCCATCCCACTCTCAGGCGGATGAGGAAGGTTCAAAGCAGATCCAAATGAAATATTACTGGTGGCAACCTCTGCCTGCTTCTGATGAGGGACTATCGCTTCTTTCATGCTGACACTATATGACATACTAAAAGCATCCTCACTGATTTCAGCTTGGCATGCAGGAGCTTCTGCTTCTGTTTCCGCGGTGTTCTCAGACGTCAGGTCATCAGGTTGCGAGGGTCTGGGTCGCGTGCCCCCATCATCCGTGTCATGTTCTGATGAGCTTTGACCACGTAGCAATGTCTTGCAGTTTTGGCAGGTTGCCTTTTCTGGTCCTTTTTTGTCTTTGACAGAGAGCTGAGTTTTCTGAGCGTCCCTGGCGCTGTAGAACCTGTAGGCCCATGAAACCAGCAGCACGGCAGCCACAGAGAGACTCAGTTTCAACAGCAGCTGCATGTCGAACTGCACTGCCAAAAGCTCTGCAATGGGCATAGCTGGAAAAGCGATGGTGGCCACGATTGGTCCACTGATCCTATCGAATGTTGTTGTCAATGCGTCTCAGTTACATGTTGTCTGGCTTTCATTGTTAAGGAGCTGCTGTGATCTAATGACTGTGCCTCTTTGGCCAAAGGATCAAGTGTACAATTATACCTCTAGAGAAACTATTTGCATCACTGGCTCTCTAGAGGCGGGGCACTGTTCATACAACACCTGGGGCAAGGCAGATGCAGATTCAATACACAGAATATGTAAATACCACATAGATCAATATTTGGTTATGCAATTTGCTGACTCACCCAAGCTTTCCTATATTTATCAGAATGTCATCAAATAACTTTCTGAATACACTCTGATCATAACTGATGTTATACTTTATTTTGTCCATTTCTGAAAAGTACCCTAAAATACATTGTCATAGATGGATCATGCTTCCTAATTTGTTCACACAAACGGCTAAAGCTGCATGAGGAAAACATGGTTTGCATAAGGGGTGGGGTTTTACAATGGATGACATTCATCAAATACTTAATAACCAGGATGCATTTGTTTGCACAGCCATGCCACAGATCAAAGGTCCTTTTGCTGTGCAGATGATAAAATTACTTTCTTTAAAGGTAAGCTGACGATTGCTGTCAAGCAACGAAATGGCAGTCACTTGGAATTATAAACATGTGGAACTGTAAATAATAAAGATAACCATCTGACCCAGATGGAACGAGTGTCTACAGAGAAACCCGAAAGTGTCATTCACTCCCATATACTATGCAAACATACATCTCTGTCACATGGCAGCGATGTCTCTCTGTCACCGCTGGCAGGCTGTCATTTGTGTGGCTGATAACACACTTGAGCGAGTCTGTGGTCAACAACAGAGCAGTGTTTATTTTAAAGGTGTGTCACGTGGAGAGGCATACAGAGGGCGTGTCAGGTATCCTAGCTGACATGAGTGCTTTTTGGTCATCTGATACCCAAGCCTGCAGACGATATGAAGGAAACTGGATTCAGCAGGCATGGTTGACTACTGAATAATTGACGGATGGGCCAAAGAGGCTGCTTCTTATCCTCGCCATTGATCCAAGCTCAGGTGCACTATTCAGAACACAGCTAAAAAGAAAACATTGAGTCAGTCATGTGCATTGTTGTGTGACACCTTCACCTCTTCTTGCTTGTGTCATCAATGATAGGAGTGCAACATGCGGCTGAACAAGAACAGAAGGCATAACATAAATGTTTCCAAGGTGTATTCTTTTTTTGTAACCCTTTGAGAATAGTGAAGCGTGTCAGACATAGATGGGATCTAGTAACAAATAAAGCTTTATATCTTGTGCCTATCACATTTCTTGAGTGATCAATTTGTTAAGGAACAAAAGAAGATTTAATGAGGGCTCAAACTCATCAGACTGTCTCACTAATAAACCTCAACACCATCTACTTTAATTGGTAAACAGAACAATGTCTACATGTGTTAATAAAAGGTTCATACAAAAAGCTTGCTCTTGTTTTCCCACTGATGTCTACAGTGGCCATGAGGTGCAAATGTGCTACAATGGCCCAAAACACTTCCTTGCTGTAGAAATGTGCTACAGCTTCAGAAATTATGCAATTATAGATGCAAACAAATTTGCCAAAGCACATGAAAATGAAGAAACATCTTCACCAACTTGAAGCTTCATGCACAGGGTTTAGTAAAAAGGGTTTCATAAACGAAATGCTGCAAATAACAGAACGCTGCAAGAAGCTCGAAACACAACGGAAACGGGGACACTAGAAAGTACTGCACATGGACCGGAGCTTTTGTTGGCGTTCGGTGATTGTAAAGTTGGCCAACTATCACTGTTGGCACAGTTAGCCTGTTCCATTGTAAGTGTTTTGTCAGTATATTTGAAATGACTAGGCTATAGCTAAAAGCAGATTTGTAGTAATAACAGAAGAAACAGAAGAAGTTGGTGAATATCTTCTAAATGCTGCTTGTGTTGTCAAGTTGGTGAAGTTGTTTTTTCATTTGCATGGGTTATGGAAGGTATTTGCATTGTTTTTCAAACTGTAGCCTGTTTCTCCAAATGGAAATGTTTTGGGCCGTTGGAACGCGTTTGCACCTGTCGGCCACCGTAGTTATCTCTATAATAACAACAATTGCTAAAAGTATTACTTTCTGGCTAAGAGCATAGGTAAGTCCATACATTTAAAATGGTTATATTCATTACTTGTTACTCAGAAATAATTGTATGAAATATACTACTATATAACCTTTGGATCGTTGTAATACACAAAGATACACACAAACAAAGTTATGGTGTACTTTCCTATTGGAATCATCATAACAAAAAGACAATTTGCACATTCTCTAATGCATTCAGAAATAGAAAATGGAGCTTTTCTTCTCTCTTGAATGCAAAGTGAGTGAAAAAAGGTAAAAAAAATAGCACAGGAGTGCCTCTTGAATCAACATTTAAATGATAGCTGTGTAATAATGCTCTACAGTGGGTGGACAAGCATCCGTGCCTTTTGCTTCCCCTCACTGGAAAAAAAATTAATTCAAAATGCATTTGACTGTCTGTTAATAATGTTTGTGCTATGCAGCTCTCATCTGCAGATTCAGGAATATGGATTGTACTCTGGCAAGGTGAGCCGATATCCCAAACGGATATGTCTATGCTTTATTCGACTAAGCTTTAGAAATCTCCCCTCTTACCTCCTACCTGGTTTAAACCGTAATCCCTTAATACATGTTGTGTCCTTAGAATAGCTTAAATTGCAATTCTTGTGAAGTCCAAAAAATGAAGGATTATTCTGCATTAAATCACCCTCAAAAACTGGAAAGGGTTAACTAAACCGTCAGAATCTCGTTTAAAAGTCGTGTTGGGGTCAGAACAATCGGAAATATCGGAAACAAAATCATTTTTTGAGCTTGCTTATAATCGAGCATGCATACACGTACATCTCCGTCTCGAGGCAGACCCTCGTATACTGAGATAATCCTCAAATTAGATTGTAAACAATGCCTGCAACAATCTAGACATTGCGAAGTGAGAAATATAAGATGTTACCGTCCCAAGCATCAATCAAAGAAGGAGCACATCTAGTACTGAACATGTCGAACACAGTGTTATAATTAAAGTCAAGTCTTGTACGTTTTATCATCTTTCCATTTTAATACAGGTGAAATGAAACAAATGCAACAACCCTGTTTACACACTCTGCCTAAAGTGAGCACCTCCCTGGAATGGCGGCTAAAATGATCCTACTAGTACTGCAGATGTCTGGGTAAGAGTTACGTATTGTACACAATGTAGGTCACTTAAGATAGTATGTCACAAGTGAATAACTGGATTACAGGCCAGTGACAATGAGTTGCAGTGCTGTCAATTGCAACACAACAAAAGGAGAAAGAATCTTCAAACGTCACATGCACCACAACCCCAAAACAGCAGACATATGTCAGATTTTTTTTTTTTTACTCTGTCCTTGGAGACCTGCCATATATAAAAAAGCCCGAATGAGAAACAGAAAGGCTGTTAATGTGTCTGTCCTTTCAGCCAAGAATTATTCTGAGAACAGTGTTGAATGACGTACAAACAAAGATGGAGAAGTGTAAACTCCAACTATATCAGCAACCATCCCTCACCATAACCCATATAACCTCTTTAATTATTTTCAATATTTACACTGATGTACACAAAATACACTCAAAAAGGAGATTTTTTTTTTCCGTAATGCATTTAAATCCTCTTGTACATTCCGAGCCATCAGAAAAAAGCAACACTTGTATATCAATAAAAAAAGAATGTTCTCTTGGAGCATCTGTGTTTGTTCCCCCCGCGGTTTATCATCTTGTTGCTAATCAGGTGCATCCCAGGACATGGAACAGATGGGAGTGGTTGATATGGGGGTACATCCTAAGCCAGTTCCACTTTTCACATTTCAGTCAACACAATGACATTTAGACTCGTCAAAATAAAAAGCCAAATGCTTTTTTCTTTTTTCCGTTTCAAATAATCTGATTTTATTGATCAACAGGCAGACGTGGGACAAGAAACAAAAAAAGGTGTAACTGGGAAGGGCTATATAGGAGGGGGGTCATGTTCATCACGTTTGTTCTTTTGATAATAATATCTTGGTTATTATTTTATTACAAAAAACAGAAGAGTGCCATCATGTCATGGCACAGTTTCCTGATCGAGTGACGCATGGAGGGCCTGTTGATGACTGGAGAAGGCTTGCAGGGTTTGTGGAAAATATGTGTCTGTGCGTGTGTGTGTGTTTGTGTGGATGTTGTCTAAGAAGGGCAAGTATATGTTTATGTGTTTATGTGTGTGTGTGTGTGTGTGTGTGTGTGTGTGTGTGTGTGTGTGTGTGTGTGAGAGTGTCTTGGATGAGAGGTTTCACGTCAGTTCCACTGTCACTGTGAGGACAAGTGCCATCCACGTTAGTCCGAGCACGTCCAGGCGGGAGGCTCCATCTACAAACACCAAATAAACAGTCAATAAGACAAACACACACTTCCTCAGGCTTCCATTCATCAATCAGCAGAGTCATATTTCAAAAAAAGTGTTTAAATACATTGATCCCAATTACTTTTAAGATCTGAACCCTGTTAAATGTAATGAGCTGGATATAGTGTGCAGTAATCCTACAATAAGTGCAATAAACCATGAAAAGCCACACTCTGTATATTTACTTCAAATAATGCATACCATTGTAAATAGACCACAATGCATTTGCTTGTTAATAAATAAGCAGTTTTAGTTACCAAAAATGTTTTATGTAAATTAAGCTATTATTTCTACCAAAGGGAGAAACGCACTGTTGCTTTAAAAACAATGCAAATTTTAAAACACAAATGTGCCATAACACATTCCAATAAAGAAATATTTTCACCACAACACATGCGCAGCTATTAGAAAACATTCACTTGATGAATAATGAAAGTGGATAATGATAATGATACCAATAAGAGCTCTCAAAATACCATTGACATCTGCAGTCAATTAAATTATATTTTTATAACCAGATATCAACCCCTATGTCCTTATACCCTCGATTTAGATCAGAAAAAAACTCCCCAAAAAGACCTTCTAAAAAATGGGGAGGTTTGTCTACAGAATTAACATATTACAATTATGAATACGTATCGACAAACAGGATTGCAACATAGGTAAATACAGTTTAGGGGTACACTTAGAGCCAGAATATCTCCACAAAGAAACCTTTTTCTTTCACAATATTTCAAGAAAACAATTGAGCTATGAGAATCTTTTTATGCTTTGGACTTGTCCACAGCAGGGATACTAGATTGTAGAGGAGAGTGAAACTGGAGGCGCTGTGGGAGAAAGGTTGTGACGGAGTGTGGGTGGTGATGTGCTAACACCAGCAACAGTTTGTTCAGAATGTGCCAACATCGAGACTACGCAGACATCACACTCTCAAGTGAGCCTGACCACATCGGGGTGTGGTTAGACTCATTAGAGTCAAGTTCTTATCTGGTTGCGGTTAGACCTGTCAGGGGATGCAGTTTGTTGAGTCTGGATGAGAAAACATTGTCTGCTGAGAAATGTTGATTGCATTGCGATGGGATCATTTGTTTGTCAGGATTAAACTATCAAGGCTTCTTCACACTGAACGTAAATCTCCACAGAATCTGTCATTTCCTACACAGCATATTCCACTCAAGTCATATAACACAAGACAATAACAACCACATCTTCTCAATAAGTACTTCATATCATTCTGTAATGGGCTTATCCAACCATAAGATCATCATCTGAGGTTCCCCTCAGTCTACAATCATAGATGCAAGGCTCCCAGCCATCTGTTTGCCTTCAGTTTTTGGCTCAGACCTCAGTGTATTTCTGCCAACCTGAATGTGAACTGGGACTGATTTCAGTGGCAATGTGCTCTTTTTAATAAAGGATGCCTCTACCTCAGTTGTGCTGGACATAAATATGCCAACGGAAACATTGCGCTTTCTTTTTGCATATGACTACGTGACTTTCAAGGGGGCCTACTGTCTGCATATTTAAAGAAGGCATTTTATGCTAATTCTTTCAGATTCATATTTGTATTTTGTGCCTCTACTGTGACATGTTTACAAGCTTTAATGTTCAAAAATGTCTTTATTTTTCTCATACTGTACTGCCTGTGCTGCAGCACCTCTTTTCACCCTCTGTCTGAAACCAGAGCCCAGTCTGCTCTGATTGGTGAGCTGGCCGGCTCTGTTTTGATTGGTCAACCGGTTAGAGATGTCCCGCCCTTTAGCCTATCAGGTACAATGTAAGGGGACGTGTGGGAGAGGAACACCTTCTGGAGGGAACGTTTAGCCTTTGACGACCATTTACATGCACACAAACCTATATTACACACTACAGGAAAGGGAAGACGGCAAATAGCATAATAGGGCTCTTTTATGTAAAGTTAGATGCCATTTTTAGCTATACTTGAGCAGAGCCAAGCAGAATAAAATGAAGATGACTTGACTATGGCGCCTGGCATTCATGCTATTGTTATTTCTGAGTCAGTGATTATGAAGGCCATCAGTTGAGTCTTTGTAGTTGTAATGAATTTCTCTTTCTGATTGCACTTCCATGTCTTGGCCAAGATGATGCATTGCCTGCAAAAACAAGACACCCCCAAACTCTTGCTACTTTTAACAGCCCAGGCGGCGGCGAAAACATTTTTGTCCTCAATTTCTCTCATCTCTTGAATTCACTTCATTGCCATGCTTGACAAGTTGTCTGGGCGAGTGGAATTCTGACAAAGATGAATGAATATAACCCCTCATGGGAAGCACAGTTTTCTCGTCTGCTGCGGCCCTGACTAACTGACAGGGGTGGTCCTTCCCACTCATGCCAGGGCGAAGAGTTTAGTATGCAGCCATTAAGCTATGAGCCACGTGTGTGGTGACCTCTTGGGGCCATGTTGTACACCGATTTGAATTGCATGCAAGGCATGTCTGCGCGTCCAGGCTGACCTGATTCTGTCCTTGCTGCGATACACCTGCTCCTGCGCTTACCATAACATTTGCATATTCAGATTTGCATCCCTACGATACAACTAGCACAGACTGGAAAGGTGAGGTAAGACAGAGGAGGAAAACAAAGAGCAGGAGGGAGAGAGACGGACACATTAAGTGCAGGAGAGGACAGGAGACACATGATATTCAAGCATGATACTGGAAAAGCGTGAAAAAGAGTGAAGCCAATGTCAGACGAAAAGACTGTTCAAATCATGTCTGACTGGGGCGGTTCAGCTTAAAGACAGCTTGCCATCTGCTTCGGAAGCTGTACACACTGTACGCGGGGACAGACATGGCCGTCATACACATGCACAAGGGATTATTATGAAATGATACTATTCAATATCAATTCAAGGGTTTCAACATCTGTGTGTTCATTCTTGCTTCATTAATCAGAATTGTACAATCTACTAAACACCTAGTACACGTCATTTATGCTTTTTCCATAAAAACATTGATGATTTTTTCACTATTAACTAATAAAAAACACACTTAGGAGTTTTACTTATGCAATAGCACTTACAATGATATTGCTTGTTTGAAGTAAATGTCAGCACTGTTCTTGCTGTCCTTAGTTTGAATCTTTATGGTTTAATGCACTTATTGTAAGTTGCTTTGGATAAAAGCGTCAGCTAAATGCTATATAATGTAATAAATGCATACTTTTGCAGACTGACTCCCTTTTTACTTTATTTTATAGCCATTTCTCAAGCTTAAAGGCATTAAAGGTAGGAGAAATAATAATAATAATTACGATTTTTATAGCGCCTTTCAAGAAACCCAAGGACGCTTTACAATGGGAGATAAAATAACAGAAAAGGTTAAAGGTAGGAGTCTTGATTATATAAACTAATCAAAATGTGCTGTAAGGGTCTACTATTATGGTTCGGTTTGTCTTACCCCTATCTATATTATGATTGCTATTTCTTGAAGCCCCCACTCTTATTTGTGTTATAATGTGTTTTTAGCCACATTATTCTACACCACATTCTTCTACAGTAAAGCCGGATCTACACTGGCCATGAGGCCTGAGTGTCTGCATCCAAATCAGAGATTTAGCTAAAGGAGAAAAGCAGGAAATGTACATTTGATTGAAGGAATAGAGACAGGAAGAGACAACTGAGGGTAAAGGGAAATAAGGGTTTTGAAAAAAGAGTAACCAGAAATGGATGAAATGGGAAGAGAGGTTGGCGGTTGGCGAGACAGAAAATGAGTATGAAAAGTCAGAGTGGAGGAGAGGAGAGACAGGAGGAGAGATTGAAGAGGAAGGAGAGAGGAAGAGGCAGAAAAAAGGGAGAGATGGAAAGGTTGCTGTCACAGCCCTGCGGCCCCTCCTGACAATCCCTCATCTTTACATATTATAATCGCAGAAGCTGCAAATGAGCCACTGCTGCACATATGAAACGCCAATAATCTCACACTCAACCAAAAGTGACAGGCTCGGTTAGTCATTGGGAGAGGCTTGTTGCTCGCTGCTGCTGAACATCGCCGAAGATTAAGCCTGAATGAATCACTCTCATGCAGTATACGTGGGAAAAGGCATTCACAACAGAGCGGCAAACATCACCCTGTCAATACTTTGAATGTTGAAACCACAGTCTCTCAAAAGATTTGGTTCTCTAAACAGTGATACCTTTAGTGCACACATTCTCTGAGTGAACAAACTGACGTGTCTCATGGTGTTCTCTTATTACAAACAGCAGTTCTAGTAATATGTAAATCAAGCAAAACAGCAATACACATATGATGCACTATAATGATAAAACACCCTTAAAGATAGTAATTTCGAGATTCCAGTGCACCCAACTTTCCAACTGCAAGGTATTTGATGGAAATGGCTCGCACATTCACACATTTACACATTGGTGCTCTTCCACCTTATTACCTGTTATTTATCAAAAAAATGTATTTAATTAATTAACTAGATTTTTAATGTATTTATTTATTTTTGGTTTATTTACTTCTAAATAAATCTCCATTTAATTATGTATTAGATTTTGAATGTATTTATTTGTATATTTTTTGGTTTATCTATTTTTAAAGAGAACTCCATTTATTTGATTTTGTATGTATTTATTTGTTAATTTATTGGTTTATTCATTTATTAGTTATCAATTTATTTATTTTTAAATAATACCCATTATATTTATCTATTTTTAAACAAATCTCCATTCGATTGATTTATTGCCTTTTTTCTTCTTCTTGTTATCTATATGTGTATGGACTGTGTAGATGAACAAAATATAAATAAAGAAGTATACGTAGTGTACTAAATATCCTTTTAGTGAAGCTGAATCTGAAATAAAAAAACAAAGCAAAAAAACCAAACCAGTAATGTTTGTGGATGTAATACTTACTGTTCTGATTCTGTGTGTTTTTCATCATGCTTGGATTTTCTGTTGGAAAAAAAGGAAACAAAGACAAAGATCAGAAACAGGGCGAAAGAGAAAATAGAGTCATCTCTAACAGGTTTTTACGAAGCAGAACTCTAATGTTCCTGAAGCGCATGTTAAACAGCATATCCCCAGTGACAAACACTGGGCCTGTTAATGGAACGGGGAACACAGAGCGCTACACCAGAACAACCAGGACACTTTTAGCAGCAGAGAGATCAGGAAACTACAGCTGTGACCAGACCAATTGGACTCCACCTTTAATAAGCAGTGCCAATATCTAGCCTGCACAACACACTCTGACCATGCAGTTCTCAGAGGGATAAAGTAATTGCAGAGGAAGCAGTAGGAGGGTTTGCAGAGCGCTAGCAACAAGCTTAATTTTGTTATTTTTTAGATGTTTTTTTACTTCATATTATGAGCAGGTGGAAGCTAAATATATAGCCCAAACTCTGCTGGTCTCACTGCAACAACATTAACCTAGCAGCTCCTCTGGGGAGGCACAGGGAAATTAGTGTGGGCACTCTACATTTGCACGCTCGTGTTTGCTTGTCGCTGCACATTTGCATAAGCATATATATTTATGTGTTTCTGCATGTGTGTTCATTTTGCTGCCTGTGTGTTTGTCACTGCCCGGCTTGTCAGTGCTGACTCGCACAGTACTCTCAGAGGGTATTATCCCTGAGGGTGCCTAAAGGCGTGCATCATCAAGACGTGAGCGCTACACGTCGTCAGTGGAGAGTCTCTACCAAGCCGTTATTATACTCTATTATTCCTGATGATTTATATTGAACACTTTGCCAAGCGAGCAGGGCTCCCAAATACCTCTATCTCTCAGCCCCCCCCCCCCCCAGGCAGAGAGAGAAGTGTCTCATCTCAAGGCCACGGGGGACGGTGCCAAGGTCACTTAATCACCATTTACTTCCCCTAAGCGTGAGGGGAAGCAATCTACAAGGAGCAAGCAGACAGATGGGCCATACAAGGCACGTAGCCGATGACACCTGAGGGTGCACCGGGGTGTTAAATAGACATTAGTGCTTTTCCTAGCAAAACTCCTCCCAAGGTAACGCCTCCCTAAAGTGGCACTTTCCCCCCTATAAGGAGGTTCTTATTAGGCCCGCCTAGTAATTTGTACATTTGTGATTTACTTTAAACCCTGTTCGCAGGAGTGTTTTGGGCAGAGGATTAAAAAAAGGTATGGATATAATATTCTTTGGTTCAGACTCGATGAACTTGAAAAAATGGTGTTGTTAATGGGGCACTTCAGGGCTGAAGTGCATGTGTGCGAGCAACACATTTCTGTATAAAAAACATATTTCTCATGTTTCTTGTACGTGACTTGACTTCTGTGGAGTACATGTGTCAAAAGCCCTGTTCAGCATGGAATGTGTAACATTGATGTCTCTATCTATAGCAGTGGTCGGCAACCTTTTTGATATGAAGTGCCATTCTAAAAAAAAAATGTTATCAGCGTGCCGACGATCGTGAATTATCAACGGGGGGGGGGGGGGAGAGGGTGTTGAAGAGCTCGACGAAAACACTCGTGAAAAGTGATGTTTAAAACTCAGTTAATGGGGCTCATTCACTGGCGCTTCCACAAACAACAACCAACATAATTGTTACATTCAAATGAAGTAGCCTATATTATTCAAGTTTACATTAACTTTGGATAATAACACGGGGGAAATGAGCGGAAGCGCTCTCTTTTCCTCTCTCCCCCTCTCTCTCTCTCCTGACAGCCTGTCAGTATCTCATGCAGCTCACTGATCCAGTAATGAGTGACAGTGAAGAATAAATATATTTATAACTAGTTCCAAAGGTAGATAAAATAGCTAAGTGTGTTAGGTCTAACTCTTGTGTGTTCTGCTCCGCTCACCGGTCCGTCACAGAGGGTGGAGCTGCAGGATTTCTGCTTCACACACGTTGCATACCGCTATTTTATTGTCTTTTTCGGACACCTTAAAATACTGCCAGACTGGTGAAGCGATTTTGGCGAGCTTGTTTTGCCTCGCACAGAGAAAAGTGTCATGTATGTTACGTCTCGCGATCGGCCTTTTTGAGTGGGGCTGCGTTGCGCGCATGGCTTCCTTCTGCAGGTAACGGGGAGACGCGCTCTGGCGGCGGTCTCGTTCAGGATCCGAAAATAAAATAAATATTTTGTACACTTATTCCACTTATTCCTAGTGTGCCACTGGTTACGGTGCCGCGTGCCATTGGTGGCACGCGTGCCAGGGGTTGCCGACCCCTGATCTATAGCAATGTCTTATGGGCTTTCAAAGATCTCTGCTACGTAAATGCATTGTAATGGCTATATTCCAACATGGCAGAGCCATTATGGATAGAGCTGCAATGCATGCACGATATTTTGCATCTGGTATGCAGAAAGGAATTAGTACCGCTAAGGGACAATGGGGGGAAATAAATGACATCAAGGAAGAAGTGTTCTCTGTTCTCCTACAAGCTGCATCAATGGTCCTTATTGATCATTGTGAGTGCTAGGGAGGCCTGCTCCTATCTTTCACTTGTGTAATCCCCTTAATATACTTTAATAGCATAATTTATTAGATGCATAAAGACATCTGATGCCTCATTGATGCAAATACTGTCTGCATATTTAAAGAGGACACTTGATGCTAATTTTTGAGTTTCACATTTGTATGTTGTGCCTCTACTGTGACATGTTTACTTGCTTTAATATTCCAAAAGGTTTTTATTTTTTTCATACTGCCTGTGCTGCAGCACCTCTTTTCACCCTCTGTCTGAAACCAGAGACCAGTCTGCTCTGATTGGTTAGCTGGCCGGCTCTGTTGTGATGAGACAATCGCTTAGACATGTGTAGGAAATGTCCTCCCCCTAAGCATATCATGTACAATGTGTTGGAGCACTAGCCAATAGAATCCGATCATTACATATTGATGTCACTATGTCAAGGAAGTAAACAAAGGAGTCAAATGGAGGCGTTTCAGGCAGGGGGGGGGGGGGAGTGTGTGGGTGAGAAACTTTGGGATTTTAGCCTTTGCAGACCATTTACATGCACACAAAACTATATAAAACACTACAGGAAAAAAAAAAAAAGCATGATAGGGCCCCTTTAACACTGTGTGCTGTAGTCTTTCCTTTAATGTGAAGTCATTCTAATCAGATTGAAGTTGTTTGATTAATATTCACTTACATGTCACTTAGCTGACGCGTTCATCCAAAGCCACTAACATACACTTCGATACTGTAGACATGCCTATGGGAGCATTTGGGGTTAAGTATCTTGCCAATTGGTTAACGCCCACTTGTCCCCTGAGCCACAGCCGTCTATTGGGACATTTACGGACAGTGACATTCGGGCTTATTCAACCATGAGACTAATAATTCAAATTGCATTTACATCTCAATAGGAAACACTATTTATAGTAAACCTTTTTTGCTCAATCTTTATGGAGAGACTCAGAAAGGTAGATCCAGGCAGTTCTTCTGAGAGTGTCTAGAGTAAACAGGTCCAGAGGAGCAAAACACACAGAGATAATAGAGCCTGTAAGCAATCCAGCTCCCACACCAGCACCAGCAAATGAACTACTATCAGGTTCCGATGATCACGTTGCCTCGATTTGGCCATTAAACAAAGTGCTTCTCCAACACTGTCAACAACAAAGGTCCTTTGATTTCATCATGGGCCTTTGATGCAGTGTTGGCTGCTGGTGTTTAAGTGAAAGCAGTACAAGATATAACATGATGGAACAGTGACCAAATCCCTTGCTAGAGAATAGTTTCCCTCGCTAAGTGCTGCCTTAAAAAGAATGTGTTGTTGAGCAAATTAAGAATACAATCTCTTATTAATCACACACTTAGCTACATTAATGATTCATACCTAAAAGCGGTCACATAATTCTCCTAAGTATTTTTCAACGATACTCTAGATACATGAAATGAATTTTGTAGAAATATGTCCTTTTCTGTGACATTAAACGATGTTATTGTATAACTCGTTCAGAAATCTCTCATGGAACCAAGTTGTACAGTCAGAGGAAAAAAAATGTTTCATATTCATCTTGTTCTAAATAATTAATCAAACTTAAATGTGATTTCTGTTTAACTGCTAGTGTAGTAGCCACTCCAGATCGGGGCCAGGGCGTGTTGCTGAAATGAGCGTACGTACCAAAGACTATGAGGCGAGTGTGCGTATCCGTGGAGCCCAGAGGATTCTGGGCCGTGCAGCGATACATGGAGCCGTTGAGCTCGGCTGGCACTCTCTCCAGAATCAGTTCCTTCCCATCTCGCTCGGCGCTGCCATCAAGCAGGCGGCCCCCCACTCGTGTCCAGGTATAGAGAGGCTCGGGGAACACTTCATTCTATCAACACCAAGCCCCCACATGGTATGAAGAGAATTAAAGGAAGGAGAGAAAAAAAAAAGATAGAGGGAAAGGATGGGATGTGCAGAGAAAGTCTGTGAGCCTCAGCCAAGAGATTAAGAGCAAAGGAAGCATGAATAATACAAGCACCAATTTTTCCCCTAATGCAATGGCAAGTTAACAACATGCATTAATAATCAACACTTCACTTTACAACAGTTTTTCTCCACACATTTTTTAGCCCTCTAGAACAACCCGCCTAGTTCCAATTATAAAATATAGCCCTCCATAAAGCAGTATTTCGCTCTTATCAGTGGGTTGACATGTTCATAGATAATAGGAGGAAACTGTAAGAGGGCGAATCTCTTGTACCATTCCACCTCTGAGGTTTAAGGCTCTGCTGCTTTTTTAAAACCTTTTTACACCATAATCCCTCCATGACTGACACAAACACACACCAAGGGACTATAGTTCTAAACAGACCAATTGTAGAATAATATTTCTAATTATTTCGATGTTCTTTAATATAATATAAGAACATATCTGCCTTTAAAATTTGATTTTATTATTTTATTTCAAAATAATATTTGTAACAATGCCAAGATGGGACTTGCAAACTGGCCAATGTCATCTTAACCTTTATACAAAATATATTTAGAAAAAATCCAATTAATGAAATTCACACTATAGTTTGAAAAAAAACAATGATAGTTAGTTAGTGAGACATTCATTAAAAATACCGGCACTTGCCTACAGGGGCAGTGCTGAGCATGAACTTTTAACACACACTTGCAACTCTTGCATACAATTAGATCAAATGTAAAAGGTTAAAATATGCACGCACGCACGCACGCGCACGCGCGCGCGCACGCACACACACACACACACACACACACACACACACACACACACACACACACACACACACACACACACACACACACACACACACACACACACACACACACACACACACACACACACACACTAACTCAAGCAGTATACAGACACGCACAATATGTCTTGTTTTCCATTCATTTGATACAATGATGGAATAAAAGTCCCTGGAATACATTCAGGCTTTTAGTGCAGAACAGGGGTTCGAGCACTCCGGCCTTACTGCACAGAAAATAGAGAACTTGCCAAACGGCACAACAACAGATGACATGTTTTCATCTAGTGATCTGAAGTGTTACCATAGTGACAAACACAGCAAAATAAGTAGATGTAATAGAACCAAGGTCCTTCAAGTGATAACCAGCTATATTGTATACGTTTACTTCTAAGTTCATTATGGTTCCCTGCATTAAAGCATAACTTGATTTCAGGTGTCCATGAAATCAGAAAGAGTTAGTTTGAATAACAATTAGTAAATTGAAACTGAGGCAACTAATCCGGCTTTTGTGACTTCATCCAAATGTGGTTCATAGGTTAAAATTGTATAAAGAAAAAAGCTGAATACGGAACTCAGACTGTAGTTTACCCTTACTTTGAAGTGTTTAAAGCAGAAGCGACTACTCACTATCACATGTCAAAATCCCTCTACATTGATTCAAAAAGCTCACATTTTGGAATCATACCCTAAAGCAAGAATGCGTGCACTTAAATTCAAATTATATCATTTTTCACATTCCCAAACGAATCACAGAGTTCAGACACAGTGCTCTTATCATGTTTGGTGTATAAGTGCCCATGACAGGTAAAGTGACCTGCTGTCGTGGATTACAATTGTCTAACCTTTTAAAATAAATGTTAATAAAACCGTTCTCCAAGGTCTTTGTTTGCATCAGGTTAAATGAGCGAGTAGATTGAGTCAGGCTCTTGGGAAAAGGTCACATTGCGATAACAAAAACATACTTTTTAGGTTTAGGTGAGACTTTTCTGTCACATGACCCCAAGAGCATAGAGTCCAGATACAAGAGGACACTGAGCTAGACTCCTGAAACCATCAATGTCCTATTAAATCCAATACATAAAATAATTTGAAAAATAAGAGAATACAACTAAAATCCCCACTGTAGGATAAGCTTCACTAATGTATTCCTCAAACATCAAACCCGAGGTGATACTGGCATCTTATTTTTTCAGAAAGTTAGTAGGCAGAATTACCAGTCTTGACACACAATGTTATCTACTTGTGAAACCCTGGAGCTTAGTTTCAGTGGATAAGGGAAATTTGCTTTCTGATCAGTGCTGCGCCTATGCAGCCAAAGGGCTCGTCTGGCTGCTTGCCACAGTAAAGCCTGTGTATAATAACCAATGTTAACACTGTTCCAAGAAAAATAGTTAAACAAATCCTGAGGTCGTTTGGCAGACATAAACCCATCTCGCCAGTCAATAGCTTGGTGCACTAGACCAAAAACAATACAGAACATTCATTTAACATGGAAATGTCTCAAAAAGTGAAATAAAATCAAACAACACATCTGACTTATGATTCCTAGAAATTCTAGAAGCCGAGATGTAGCAAAAGCTATTTGTACTTTGGGCCATTAACAGGTCCTTTCTCAGGATCAGCCCTTTCATTTTCACTTGACTGACTCCAGCTGGATGGTTTCGATGTGTCAATCCTGTCAAAGAGATCAGCCCCGTCCAAAGGCCATTCCCACTGGGGACATGACGGGAACATGACGGGGATGACAGGGACACAAAACAATAACCTGTAGCTCTTTCTTTGGGATTATAGTGCAGGAAGTGGAAATCCACGAAATTACACCAACTTCTATAGCATGGCTGCCTGTTGGTTAAGACTGATAGACAGGGGCATCAGTTAGCTATCAGTTAGGGGGTTCATTCATTCATAAATCATTTAAAGACTTCACTTGTGTACAGTTCATTGTTGCCTTATTACTGCTGCTACCTTAACTATTGTATGTGGTATACTGTTAAAAACTGCTACTTGTTTTATTTTTTACCATGAATGTGTACCAATTACATTTTTTAATGGGTGATTGTCTTCTTTAATTAATGTCAGCCTATTGTTTTTATCTGAGCTATCCATTTGCTGTAAAAATCAGAGGTGGAAAAAGTACTCAGATCTTGTACTTAAGTAAAAGTAGAAGTACCAGAGTTCAGGAATACTCTGTTACAAGTAAAAGTCCTGCATTCAAAATGTTACTCAAGTAAAAGTAGAAAAGTATTAGCTACAAAAAATACTCAAAGTACCAAAAGTAAAAGTAGTCCCGGCAGATTGGCCCATTTCAAAATAATATATATTAAATGTTTTGATTATAATTATTGATGTATTCAAATGTTATCAAAGTTGGTAAAGGTGCAGCTAGTTTTAATGACTCTGTATACTGCAGGGTAGATTGTGAATTTACTCCAGGTGGAACTAAAGTCTGATTTAAGTGTTGTTTGTTTTTCACATTATTAATCCACATCTGTTAAGTAACTAAAGGTATTAAATAAATGCAGTGGAGTAAAAGTACACGATTTACCTCTGAATTGAAATGGGGGAAAAGTATTAAGTAGCAAAACATTTAAATACTCAAGTAAAGTACAAGTATCTCAAAATGTTACTTAAGTACTGTACTTGAGTAAATGTACTTATTTACTTTACACCACTGGTAACAATACAAGTTTCCCCACTGAGGAAGGAATAAAGGATTTCTGATTCTTATTTATTTTTGCAAACACTTTTAGAAGACATATAACACAGCCTGAAAAATAAACTTTTCTTTATTTAACAGCCTGTATACCTGTCCTCAATGCGATAAGGTGAATTCAAATTTTGAAAAAAAGACAGAGGGAAAAAAATGTGTATGCCCAACATAGTGGTCACTCAGGAGAAAACACAAACATGCTAACATGCACATATTGACAAGCCATTGATTTTTCAAACCCCCATGCACTTACCCCAGGCGGTCCTACCTGGAATCCTTGCACCGTGATGCGCACCGTGTCCCCCACCTTTGCTCTGGTGGGGGTCATGAAGATTTTAGGGCCCTTTGGAGCAGCTGAAAAAAGAAATAAAAAAGACAAAGGGAGGTCATTGTACTGAGCCGAGAGAGCAAATCCTACTGGACACCTGTTTTGCCACAGAGGGAGAGAGACAAATACAATTTCCTGTCAATTAAGGTCACGGGGCGAGAGGCGAGGGACCTGCAGGTTCTTTCATCCAAAGGACTGTGCTAGATTTATTCCCCCTTGGAGAGAAAAATAACTAAATTGGGTGGATACTCATTACTTGAGGAGAATGGGAGTGTGCCGGGTGGAGTGCAGAGGCAGTGAGATAAGGGACACTCACAGAGCTAATTCCCTTGTCTTGGTGTAGACGGCGGTCCCAGATGGCTTTCATTTGGACCATCTAAAACAATGGGGCGCAAGTGAGTGAGGGAGCGGGCAGATTGTAATATTCGGAGGTTGTGAGGGGCCGGTGATTGTCCAGTGTGTGTGTAGCGTTGAGATAAAATGAGTGATTTGCATAATATTATAAAAAGGTAAGTCATTTCATTACGGTTTTACAGCACAGTTTACTGCATTAGGCCCATATAAGCAGGTTCTGCACGACTTGAGATGATTAACAGTCCCGTAGAAGATAGCTCCACACGCTGTGCACTTCCATATGTTGGACAAACGAACTGAGCAGCACATGCAATGAGACTCAAGCTAAGGGCATCCTATCCATTATGAGTCTACAAGTCCTCCCCAGGAGTGCTTCAATTAATTTGATATGAACTTTTAATATAAATCACACTGGAGTTAAACTAAAGGATAAGTAAATAGACTGACAAATGACCTCAGTATTTAGCTATTAATCTGGCAACAAAGTGTCCACTGTGGCTAATGAAGCACAGCCTTTTCTTAGGCGACCATTGACTACAAGCCTGCATCAGACTAATGGAAGAGGAGTTGCACTGTCATAGCTGTAAATAGGACTGAGCATGTGGTGTTGCCCATGTGGTGTGTATAATGTCTAGGACTACTTTCGTAAAATGGAGCGAAAGCATTTTAATTGCATGAAATGGAAATTGAAAGAGCGGATATTCAGATTGTAGCACCACTAGATTACTTCTTATTTTACATTATCCAGTCTATTTGTCCAGAAAATCTTCAAAATAAATGGAAACCGTCCACATATTTACATACGAAAGGCATGCTGTGAGCAGTTTGAAATGGCGAAGTGTTACATCTAATTTTGTAGATGGATAGCATTTAACTGGCTAGTTTTGGCATGGCAGTGTGAAGCACTATCTTTTTACCACCCACACACCAACGGAAAAGGTATTTTTAAATTCTGGTGTCATATAGAGCTAGCAAGGCATATGGCCGGGGAAGATGATGGCTGATTTCTGGGATTTGCTCCAACAGTGACAGTTGGCCTCCTACGTCATCACCTTTGATTAGGGCAGCATGCAGTGTGATGGACATAACACAGAGTCTCTCAGAGGGTGAGGGGCCTCACAGGGGGAGATGAGCCATGGTCCCTTGAGACTGTCAACAACCTCTTCGGTTTGCCACAAGGAAATGTTTGGAAGGACGGGTCAAAGAATACAAATTCCCTCCAGAAAAACAACTGTTCACTGTGCATCAGGTGTACTTTTATACCTAGCCAAGGCATCAACAGGTTTGCCGAGCTGCACAACACACTGGAAGGAGACCTGTCACATTACCTGGTTTCATTGAAAAGAAAAGCAGGAGAGGCATGCCACCAAATGTACAACCCCTCACTGACTGCTGGAGCACTCTATCGTGGTGATTCTAGCACTCTGTAGTGCCTTTTACATAGACCCAAAAGGAGGTTGATAAAACAGATTGATGAATGTGGGCTGCAGGTGACATCAGGCACAAACAAAACACTAGGTACACATAACAAGTATATAAATAACCATACACATACATGCACACACATTTAATCCACCACAATACACACACATGCACACAGATCACAGACTCCTTCCTGAAGCTGAGCATCTGCTCTTTGATTATCACGGTCTGGCAAAGCAATGTGAGGAAGCCTGGATCCGTCCTCACTGCTGAACACTGTACGAAATGGAATTCCACCACTTGTCTAATGATGCTGAATAATAAACACCTTAGCCAATCTAAATCCAAAGCAGGGAACTTATTTCAATTATTTAGATGCTCTGTGTTCATGAATACAATCCAGGCATGCAGAATACACCGGGCATATGATCTCATAGCGCTGTATTTTTCATTTTGGACCCCCAAGGTCTGGTGCAGCTTCAGGTCCATTTGTATGCTAACCACGGAGCGAGTCATGATTATTCATGAAGTGCAATACAACATTGGTCGATTGTCAGACTGTCGCTCCGTCTCATGTGGCAATATTAAATCTCTGAAAGATGTATTACTTATGGGCCCTGGAAATAACTCCTTTTCATTTCCTGACCAAACACACCTGAGAGAAACAAGAGAGTGTGTGCATATACAGAAAGACAGATAGTGAGTGCAATTATCCATTTATGGCTGCATAATAGAAATAAACAGGGAATGTAAGTGATGGAAAAAATGTGACGGGCTGATACACAGTCCTATTAGAGTCACACAATGTTTAAATACTCTCAAACATGTCAGCCATTTTGTCTATCATATGCGCTAAAGCTTATTTCCGTTGTGCATAACCTCGACCTACAGTACACCCCCGCTATATTTTGATATTTTATTCCATTCCAAGTTAGATCAAGCCTAAAGCATGTCTGTGAGTGCTTTGAATTTCAAGTGTGCTCTAATTAGAATCAAGACACGCACATTTTTTTTGTTCTCTTTTCTTTAGGTGGTGGATACAAAAAGAAATGTGTCTGCTGATGCGCCTTCCATCTCGTTAAAAGAACAAAGGTAATGACAAATTAATGCTTTCAAACACGGAAAAGGTAAAGGCTTGTCAAAGATATTAGCACCTTGGACATTTAGCAAGAGCTTCACAGGGCCCATTCACCACAGGGTGTGTCATCTGTTTTATCATCAACATGTGAGAGAGGCAAAGAGCTGTTACTGCAATACTTAGTCAGAAAAGCTAATTTACTGCCATTATACCTTCAACTGATATGGCTGTCTGCATCCTGCAACTGAAGTACTTTTTTCAAATCCACTTGGGATATGTTGGTGACAGGTACTACATGTCAGAAAGATAACTTTGGATGTGAGATGTTCCCATTTGAAAAACACAACAATAACAATTTAGACAATCGGTGTTCAAATATGGGCTAAACTGCTGTTTTAGATTCCCTCCTCTGCTTATGTGGTTTAAAGGACAATTCTTGAAATATATATATTTTCTTATTATCAACACATTGTATGAAATAAAAAAAACAACAATACATTGATCATCCAAAGAAGTACTCCTAAAAACAGAATTGTTGCAATGGGTCATATGGTTGTTTTTTTTTACCAAGAACTCAGCCACTGTAGTTGGTGTTAGGGTTAGGGTTAGGATATTTTTTAATGAATCTAACATGGCAGCTGGATTCTTATTCATAGTCATACAAGAAATTAGATGAGATTGTATATAGCTAAAAAATATGTCCTGTGCATGTGAGGACCTACCAGCAGCTATGGGCATGGTTTAGGTGTGTGCCAAGTTAAAGGCTGTTTGTTCAAACAAAGGTGGTTCCTAAAGAGGTAAGCAAATATGCTGCAACAGCATTATAACTGGGTGTATTTTATTGATTGAAAGAAGAGCAAAGAAAAGCACTTTTTTGAAGAATGAATATGTTTTTCTTTTATCCGAAGTGGCTTTGGTAAGAGTTTGATTGACATTGTTTTTGAAAGTGCATGCCTCTTTCCAAGGAAGCCTTCTATGGTGGTTCTATTAAAAAAGGGACCATCTGGCGTGTCAGGGTCACATACACCATCGTGTTGACATTAATTCTCACTATAATGCTAAAAACGTGTATTAATTCACAACTGAAAATAGTTCCAAATAAATGAACTATTCATTTTCTTTGAATATTGTTTGCTGAGCATGAGAGCCCAGCTCTTTTAACACAGCGTTTCCTAAAAGTTAATCTCTTTTGATGGTCTGAACTTCAAACTGACCTAACAGGAACAACATGAAGGAGTGTCCCTACTTTTAATTGAGACCCTGTAGGTGTACCCTACTTACCCAGATGTGTATATGGATTCTGGCAGGAAGTTTTCCTGGCACACCAAAATGGAAAAACTGAAATTAACAATTTTGTATCACTGTGTGAGTGCACCATAAAAAAAAAGCTGCACTAGATAACTCAACTTGCTGCAACAGTATTGTCTTCCATCATCTACATTTAGATACAAAGAGTCCTCGGTGTCATACATTTTTTTTAAATGCATTTCTAAAACATCAAGTTGCTAACTTAAAATGAATGACTAATTGTTGTATTTGTATACTGTCAGTTACAACAAAATGTAAAAGCAATAACGAGTAAGATTTTGATCATCTTAAAATGTAGCCAAACTCAGAGGCCTCATGTCAAAACATGATTTAGGATTTTATTTCAGCTTGTTCAAAATTCAGCTGCTAGAGGTCTTAAACCAAATAACCGACCACATACTGTAACTTAAATCCTCAAGACACTTGCTAGGCCTCTTAGATTACTGGAGAGAAATTGGTTGTTGGTAATAACTACTGACAGAACTAACCATGGTGAAGCAGATTTGAGCCTCTATGCTGCTCAGGTCTGGAATCAAAACTATGATAATAGGTGCACCAAGTGTAGCCATGTAATGCACTCTATATGTTCTTTTAGCTGATCTAATGCCAATTTTTATCTTTTATTTTCATATGCTCTTTGTGATTGTTTTATTGTATGTGTTATCTTCAACATGTATGACGTGTACTATGAACATAAATGTGCCTTGCCTTGTTGTTGGGAGACTTTAAATCCCTACTAAAACCCATTAAAGTATTTCCACTTCTGGATTATAATGACAGTCTCCATACATCGACTCAGAGTGACCACAGCTGCTCACCAGCATAGAAAGAGGGATACTTTTAATTAGATGAAAGGTGGTGATGTGAGACAACATACTGACAGCGAGAAACAGTGCAGCAAGCAAATATGTACCGGCCACCGTCTCCTCATTCAGATTCTCCCTCTGCCTTCAACCATAGCTAGCATCTCATGGAAGATCATGTCTCTGTTTGTCATGTCAGGGTGGTGTGGCTTGTCTCCAGGAGGACCATGCCAACGTATTGCCTTTGAAGTGTTAATTGGATGCGCTGGAGGCCATCTTTGTTTGTAGATAACAAACAAATGAGAGTGTGTGTGTCTCTTGGGTTACACATTCTTTAAACTTAATGCTAACTTTTCCCTTAAAATATGACTCCCTGTGTTTAGAATTCAATACCTGCATCCCTACGTCTGCTTTGATATTTTTCAGATGGAAAGTTTGCAAATACACTGCTCTGTTCCCTTTTTTCAAATAAAGTGATGTAATTTAGGGAGGATGCAAAACAGTAAAATGTCATACAAAAGAGCTTAAGGCAGCTGCTCATTGAAGTTCGGAGAAGGGCATCATCTATGAAATCGTCTCACCGATGATATAACATGTCTAAATTCTCATTTGACTTCTGTAATTGAGGCTGACTTTTTCAATAACGGTACTGAGTTAACTCAATCTAGCTACAGACAGCTCGATGAATTGCCCTGTCAGTCAGTCAGAGTTTTGCATTTGCCGCTAAACTCGCAATCTGCTCAGTTGTAACACAATTAAGTGGCATCAAATGAAAATCAGTGTTGTTCTGAGTACATTTGCAGGGGACACATGAGGGGGCCCGGTCGCTTTCCAAGTGTAGCAAGGGGATGCAAGGACACGGCAGGAGATTAAAAGGGAGAACAAATGAGAAAAGGTTGTGTGTGTGTGTGTGTGTGTGTACCTCTAGATGAAGTGGGAGGAGAAATAGAAAACAGATGAAAACAAAGGTGGTGGAGGAATGGAACTAGGACAATTTCTCCAATTGTGTACTTTTGTGGCTGTTTTGAGTGCATAAGTGTGTCCTAATGCGAAGTATTGCAAAATGCACAATGAGTATATGGATGGTGTATCTGTCAAAAGTGGAGTGTGGGATGCTGGACATTTCACTAAACGATCGCCATCTTAGCTACGTTATAGATGCTAAGCTAACAACAGCGATTGAAGTTGCTCCGATATACCAACCCAGTCTCACGGCATTTCGTGTTATAGTCACAAAATTAATCTATTGATTCGTGTTCACCAACACGATTTCGCCATTTTTTTCGTGTCACACAGAACAATTTTAAAAGCAATGTAAATAATAACAAATTAGAAGGAAAAACAGATAAAAGAAAATACAGATTTCAGTATTCTGACACAGAACAATTTTAGAAGCAATGTATTTATATTGGTAGTATGTTTCGTGCCTGCACCAAATAATAACAAATTAGAAGGAAAAAAAGATGACAAAAAATACAGATTTCAGTATTCTGAGGCTCTGAGCCATTTCTTTTCCTCGCGGACGGCAAAAAAACTCAGACATTATACAATTTAAAATAAAAGGGATGGTTAGGCTTAGGGTAAGATATTGAGTAAGAAAATGTTTTTATGAACCACACAGCTTCTGGTATTCCAAGACCCGACCGGACAAAAATACGTGTTGCAGGCACGAAACATACTACCAATAGAAATACATTGCTTTTAAAATCGTTCTGTGTGACACGAAAAAAATGCAAAAATCGTGTTGGTGAACACGAATCAATAGATTCAATTAATTTCGTGACTATAACACGAATTGCCGTGAGACTGGGTTGATATACACACTACATTACAAATAGAAATGTGTGTTTTTCTTCACTGTTTAAGTAATGTCTCACTATTCGGGTTTCACAAATAAGACACGATTATTTTACAGGGTTAACTTAGCAGTCTGTAATGATTTGGTACCACAAAGGATTGTTGCTAGCTAACAGCAGATATCGTCACTTCTGGTTAGGGAAAAGTGGCAGTGTGATTTTCAAAACAACATGGTCGAAATGAATGCACTGCATTAGTGTTCACAGTGCACGACAATCAGTGTACTAAGGGAAGTATTCAAATTGAGACACAGTGCAATGCAAAAACAATGACTTAGTTTTAGTCTTACTCACATAGAGTGACCTCTGTCTGCATGGGCATGGACAATGCCGGGTGCTTGACTTCGCAGCTGAACAGGGCATCATTATCCAGCTGCGGGTTGAGGGTCCAGGTGAGTCGGGCCTGGACCACCACAGAGCCGTCACTCTGGGGGATGTTAGTGTGGCTGAAGTAGTAGAGCGGGTCTGTGCTGTGCACCCAGCGGGGGAACTCCCGGCTCACCACTGTCTCTGGGATGACCTCTGTCGCAGGGCTGGGCTCGTTGGCCTGCTGGCCTTGAGTGTGGACACGCTGGGGGGTCTCTGTGTGCACACGGGGCACTCGCCCTTCGGGGTCCAGCAGGGAGAGGGAGCGCTGTAGTTTAGTGTCATCGAGGTCCCTGCTGATGAGCGGCCGGGCCCCTCTCACCCCAGCTGCGCCGCCACCCTCATTGGAGGTCTGAGTGTAGGAGATCACCTCTATCAGCTCGCCATCACGCTTAAAGTACACCTAAGACAGAGAGTGAAATAGAGGGACAAGACGACAGAGAGGTGAAAGAAGAAGGAAAAAAGACGGGAAAATATGTTAATGCAACTATATATTCAGGCTTCCTGGTAAATATATGTATATATCGACTGTATACTGTATAGTCCATGACACAGTATGCACTCTTCTTTTAGCTCTGTTTTAACTCCTTTGCAAGAGAGCACAACATTGCCTGAATATTTACCCATATAATTAGCAATGGCAAACTTTCCCATGTAGCTATCCAATAGAAACAAAGAAAACCATTCATTTGAAGATTTGGTGCAAATGTCCATGTTATTCACTTTTCTTTAAGATCTCTTTTAGTCTTTATCAAGGAATTCTAAGAAAAATGGCTTAAATAATATATTGTGTTTTTAACGGTGCTTCCTTACTTTGTCTGTCCAACTTCTGGTTGATACTTTAAAGTGGGTTTGATGGATTTTTTTAAACCCACAAATGCTGCCTGTATAACCAAAACCAAGAACTGAAAGACTGAAAAATGCTCCATAGAACTGAAGGGAATTGCACAGTGGGATGATCATTTGGTTTGACTTCTTGTCTGAAGGAGTGATATCTTCCTCATTCAATAGCAATATGAATTCCTCTATTAGTGGAGCTTTAACAATGATTTTAGAATTGGTTCAACAGCGTTGTTATTGCCAGAGTAGCATGTGCTGCCAGTAAAGATATAACAGGAGTTTCACCAGTTCATAACATCTCTGGGTGCCTAATCCCCTGACAGGGAATTATTTCTCTTATTTAAGCCGATATGACCACAACATGAAGTTGTATAGTCACTGCTTGTTGAGATGCTATTCACCAAACAGATATGTTGTATTTGTTGTGTTGCTGAAGGAAAGCAAACCTAATCTGGAGCTCTTTCACAGACATTTGCTCAATTGAATTGAATATGCCAAGGATCAAATAGGCATTACTAACCGTATGAGTGGATACTATTGTATTTGGCGTTATTCAACAGGAGCTAAACTAAACTATCCACTGGATAGGGCCAAGCTCCTGTTGAATAACGCCAAATACAATTTTCATATTCACAACAGGGATGGAGTTTATAATCCTTGAACGACAATACAGTTTAACTTTGAATGTTTTTTTCTATGAAACATATTTGTATTTAAAGTGAGAATATGTATTTTTCAGCGTTATCAGACTTGACAGCAGTATTGTCAAGATCAATCCAACAATAAATTAAACTATGACCGTAGGTGAGTTTGTCTCCCACACACATAGACAGGCAGTATGAGAAAAATAAAGACCTTTTTGAACATTAAAGCATGTAAACATGTCACACTAGAGCCACACAATACAAATATCAACCTGAACATTAATATAATATGTCCTCTTTTAATTTGAATGTAATATAGAATGAAAACATTTCAATTTAAGTGTTCCGCACCTAAAGACATCATCTATTATAAATGGCTCTGTAATATATTCAAAATGAACAAATACAGTGTTGTTTTCAATGAACAAAGCCAGTAAGCCTTTTAAATGTAATTCAATGTAACAATACATTCATCTTCTTTACTTAAATATGAACTTTCTAAAACATTGATAAATCACAGCTGTCCTCTCAGCAGTGTGGGCTGAGGTTATTTTTGTGAAGACAGATGCCACATCATTATATTACAAGCTGTGACATGCTGCTGTTGTATCCAAGTATTTATAGCCAACTCTAAAAACCTTCTAATGGCTGCCATCAGAGAAGGCTGGTACACACCAACAGTGAGTCAAGTGACCTTGCTCAAAGGTATTCTGCAGTACAGGTTATTGTCGTTTAAAAGTGCCCAACAAACAAAGAACCTATACTTTGTCAACAACCTGCTGCTGTGTTCTGTGAGTCTTAAGCTGCACTATGTCCCCATCTACCTGCACCACACTTCCAGTACATAGGCAGTGTTCAAACAAGCTTTTCTTTCCAACTTTATCTTGCTTTTTATTTCTGTAAAGGTTAATGCACCGCAGCACTTAATTATTTCAATAGATTTTCAATACGTTTAATGTGATATTTAACTAGAGGAAAGCCACATTTGAGTAGTTGCAGTTTTCTCTTTAAATCCAGTCTATGAAGTCTGATAGCAAATTGTTGGAGCAATTCTGACATTAGTGTAATATGTTCTTAAAAGATGACTAATGACTACGCCTTCAAGTACAACCTTTAATTAGTGCACAATTCCAATATTGTGTTGTAAAAAAAAGAAAAGAAACCTCCTCTAAAGGGTATTCAAGTTCACTGGAAAACCATATATAAGTATGAGTTATTACTCTCCAGATATAGGTTCATTTAAAATGCAGATTTGGTGGAAAACAGTTCTCGAAACGTGTGAATGAACACAAGTTTATTTATCGCAGCCCAGCATAGCGTATAAGGTAAATTTACAAATGAAGTTACACGGCATTCAATAGAGTGCCACAGTGACACGTCCTAAAACCCGGAAGTAGAAGTAAGTTAGCATTTTACCACTTCCGGTTCCTTCGACAAAAAAGCAATGCAATTTCTCCATAGGATTTTGGAAAATAGCTCGAAATAAGGTCTGTGGTTGACACACATTTAAGAGACGGATCACGTTTTGTTCTACGACATTAAATACATCAGCAGTGACCCCACTGGTGATTTTTGAAGAGTTTACGTGTCTGAAAAACGATGGTTGTTAACAAGTGGGTGAATAGGACTACAGAAGTTGTCGAGGACGTTGTACGTCATTACACCGAACACGTAAACACTCCCGCTAAGTTTGTTTTTCCCCGTGTTCTGCTTGAAAGCAAGTACTTGCCTCCTGCAAACTGTTGAAGCAGCGACCCTGCTGTAGTTCGTTTATAGCATAACGTTAGCATTTTGCTTCTGGCGACTAGATTTATGATTAGAAAATTATAAAAGGGTAGACTGGCTGAACGAAACGTGAGCCGTCTCTTAAATGTGTGTCAACCACAGACCTTATTTCGAGCTATTTTCCAAAATCCTATGGAGAAATTGCATTGCGTTTTTGTCGAAGGAACCGGAAGGAGTTTACTTCCGGGTTTTAGGACGCGTCACTGTGGCACTCTACCCATCACCCTTTATCTGCGTTTACCCTATGTGCACTCTAGAGCCAGAGCTTAAAATCCAATAGCGCAATGGGATAGAAACATCAACCCCAGATCCACAATGACCCCATTGCGTCTGCTGCTAACTCCTACAGCTTCTCGACAACTTGAAAAGAGAAGAAGCATTTTCACCGTGTGTCGAAACAGCTCATTAATTATCACAGCAGGTGGAGCGAGAGCAGCGTGGATTACAGCGTACCATGCACCTGTTCTGTAGCCTTTGTTGGACAAAATGGTGTGGGTACACAATAACACATGTGTTGTCTATGGGTTGGTATAATAGGGACTTAATCCTCTAAGCTTAGGTAACTGGTGTGTTTCTATAAACATTAACAAAGAAGTTAATTTATATGCATAAAAGAAACATTGATTAAACAGCTACATTACTTAACATAGAGCTGTGTGCTCTAAAGGAGTGAGGAATAATACCTTCATTGAGGTTAAGCATATTATTAAGCGTCAGTTTACCTATTCATACTGATCCAACCATGACTAAACATCTTTCTTTGCCACCTGTCTGCTTGAGGTATAAGAAAAGGAATCATTAGGGTTTCATCAAAGCTGTGAATGAATGGGATAACAGGAATGTAGCTGCAGGGAGAAGAGTGTTATTTCTGTGTTGTTACCCTGCAGTTCTGCTCCTTTTTCATTTCCGCTTTCATTATTTGGAGGCAGATCACAGTATTGCTATGGGAATAATACAGACTGAGATATAAATAGACTTTTAAAGAAGAAAAACGGTTAGCGGGGTTGGGTGAATTCAGTCATTTTAGATTGTAATTGTAACGTTGTTTCGGGAGTATGTTGTTCTTTTCCAGTCAACATAATCATGTGTGGCCTCTCTTCCTCAAAGCATTTTTTTGAATTATTAAACATATATCATAGACATTTTTGAGACTTGTAATGAAAAATGAAGCATTTCAATTGATTATCATGGTGGCCGGCAGAGGCACACACATTAAAACGGCCCAAGAAATTCCATTAGGAGAAACGCACTTCAGTTTTAAAAACGATGCAAATATAAAAACACTAATGTGCCAAAACACATACAAATCAAGACACATCTTCACCAACTTGAGAGCATTAACAAACGCTGCAAGAACCTCATAACAAAACGGAAATCAGGGGACCCTAAAAAGTGACACACACAGCTGGGACTGGAGCACTTGTTGAGAATTATGAGGTTGGCTAACTGTCACTGTCACTGGAAATGTACCAACAATGTAAGTTTCATTGGCTTATTTTAACAATGTGATTGCATGATTCCTTCCGAAAATATTGCAGATCTGCTGCAGCTAACCGAGCTAACCTAGTTATTTCAAATACACTGACGAAACACTTGCAATTATGAAACAGGATAACTGTGCCAACAATGACAGTTGGCTAACATTATAATCCCCAAACGACAAAAAGCGGTCCGGTGTAGATCACTTTAAAGTGTCCCTGTTTCAGTAGTTTTTCAAGCTTCTCGCAGCTTTTGAGTTTTAGTAAATGCTGTGCATGTTTTGTCAAATTGGTGAATGTTTTCTTGATGCTGCGCATGTGCTGTCAATTTGATGCATATATTTTGTCTAATTTGTGTTTTTATAAATGTGTTGGGTCACGCGTTTGCACCTGTTGGCCACCGTAGGATTACATTAAAGTAAAAGTGTTCATATTAAACTAATGTATAACAAAGGTCATATTAAAATCTCTTTCAAAGCCAACACATTGTGCTGATAATAAATCAGGCTAAATAATACCAACTTCAGACATTATTTAATTAAAATCAAAAAGATAAGTGGAATGCAGTTCTGCAAGGCCAAAATATGACATAGGACGGCAGTCAGATAAGAGAGAAGAGACACATGTGACAGCTCCCTTGCCACTGTATGTCATTT